AAAAAAAAAAAATGGAAACAAAGATGCTAATGATGGTAATGTACTGCTTACTTGTGTTAGACATTGTGTCAAATATGTTAAAAACCTATCATTGAAGTCTCACAGTTACCCTATGTGGTAGGTATTTTTTATCCCTAGTTTCCAGAAGAGGAAACTGTCAGTGAAATTTTTCCTTTGTCCACGGGCATGTAGTGAGTTAATAATGGATCTGTGTGATTAGGTGTCTGACTTTCAGACCCAGTGTTCTTGACTTTCCCTATTTTTGAGTGGGGGAAGGTACATGCAGCGTAACCCAGAGCAGTGGTTCTTACATGGAATTACTTAGAAGCTTAAAAAAAACCACCAAAAACCCATTCAGGTCTGCAAACAAGTCTAAGAACATGCACCTGTTAATTTTTTTTAATGTTTATTTCTATTTGAGACAGAGCATGAGTGGGGGAGGGGCAGAGAGAAGGGGACAGAGGATCTGAAGCAGGCTCCATGGTGACAGCAGAGATCCCAGTGCGAAGCTCTAACTCACCGTGAGATCAAGACCTCAGTCGAAGTTGATTGCTTAACCAACTGAGCCACCCAGGCACGCCCCTCCTGCTTTTTTAATGCATCTGTTAAGTTTTAAAAAGTTTTACTGAGGCATAATTACATACAGCAAAATGTATACTTTGACAAATGTATACAGGCATGTCACAAGAGAACATGCATTTTAATCAAGGGTCCCAGATGTGCAGCAGATGTGTTAGAGGTGTGGAACCTGGGATGGGAGTATCCCATGTGGCTGGTGGATGAGCTGGATTTTTGAAGGTGACTTCAAAGCATGAAGCATGTTGTAGCACTCCAGGGAGATCTTTGGGACACGTTGATTTTCGACTCCTGTTAGTTGTGGAATATCCTTAATTTCCATTGATTTAGAAAAAGCTTTTAGGGGTCCCTGGCTGGCTCAGTTGGTAGAACATGCGACTCTTATCTTGGGGTTGTGAGTTTGAGACCCACATTGGGTGTTGAGATTACTAAAAAAATAAACTTAAAACTCTTTAAAAAAAAAAGTTTTTGTAGCTTGATAATGCCAGCTTAGCAAATGGTTGCTTTTCCTTGGCTTTTGGGGAGCATCAGTGTTGGCAGAAAGGAATTGGTGCTGGGGCCCTGGGAGACTGCCCCTTATTAGGTGCAGTGTTTCATCTTCAGTTAGGGAATTAGGGAAGACTGCCCATTAGGAGCTCAGTAAAAAGATTTCTGTTGCTTCGTAGCCTATGTTTGAGGTACAGAATGGGAGAGGATGCTTTTTAACCTTTTTATCAACTTTAAGTCTAAATGAAATCAAAGTAAACATGGTCCTTCACTTTGGTTGTTCAAAGAATGTGAAGCATTAAGCAGGGCCTAAAAATAATCCAAGTATGCAGCTGTGTAAAATGGTACAGTATGTTATTTTAGGGGCCATGTGTATTTAGGTAATATGATGGTTCAAACAGTGTTAGCATCCCTACCCTTTTTTATCTAGGGGGTACCATAAAGGAGAAGTGATGTATGCTATTAAAAATCTTTTGGGACACCTGCGTGGCTCAGTCAATCACCCGACTCTTTTTTTTTTTTTAATTGTTTTTATTTATTTTTGAGAGAGAGACAGAGATAGAGTGTGAGTGGGGAAGGGGCAGAGAGAGATGGAGAGACAGAATGTGAAGCAGGCTCCAGGCTGTGAGCTGTCAGCACAGAGCCTAATGCGGGGCTCAAACCCACGAACTGTGAGATCATGGTCTGAGCTGAAGTTGGACGCTTAACCAACTGAGCTACCCAGGAGCCCCAATTGCCTGACTC